TACTTGAAAACTGAGAGTGAAATCACCTGGTATTCCAGCAAAGATGTATCTATATATGTATATGAGTCAGTTTATCACTGCAACACTGGCTTTTGTTTTAAAAGAATACCTGAACTGATTTTGTGCAGGTATTTGTTGAAAGAAATCGAACACCCAAACGCGCAAATGTCCAGAACCATCAGATAACAATCTTTTTATTTGTTTTGCTTCTCTGTATTTATACATGCAAAGAGTTGCTACAGAGCTTCCTCCAAATATGCAAAAAGAAACTGCCAACTCTTTATTAAAAACTTAACCCCAATAGTGTATCTGTCGGAGCTGCTGTGACGCAGAAGTTCTCCCGTGGTAGTAATGTGGGACTCCGTCGCTTTTACAAGTGGGCTGGTTTTCTTCATGGCCATGAACACTTTTGCAGTGGCACCGGTTGAACAAGCTGTGCAATTAGGTGTTATTAAGGTAGCTGGAAGGACAGATCCTGAAGCTGAAACTCCAATACACCTACTTTGGCCATCTCATGAGAAGACTCCTTGGAAAAGACCCTGATGTTAGGAAAGTGTGAAGGAAGGAGGAGAAGGGGACGACAGAGGACGAGGTGGTTGGACAGTGTCATCGAAGAGACCAACATGAGTTTGACCCAACTCCAGGAGGCAGTGGAAGACCGGGGGGCCTGGCGTGCTCTGGTCCATGGGGTCATGAAGAGTCGGAAACGACTAAACGACTAAACAACAACAAAACAACACCAAGGTGGCTGGATAGCTCCATGGTTTTAGGACCCGGCCACAAAGCCTTAGGTTGGAAGTTCGATTCCCCACTTGTGCCTCCCAGGACAAGAGCCAGCCTGTGTAGCCTTGGGCCAATGGCACCGTCCCAAGGCTCCCCCTAGAGGCAGGAGATGGTAAAGCACTTCTGAATACTCTCTCTCCCTAGAAAAGGATGAGCGTGAGTCAATATCGACTTGATGGCTCATGGTGAGGATGATTAAAGCATTGGGAGCTTCCCTCTTTGTGCAAGTTCAGTGGTTACTGATGTCAGAATTAATTTACAAATACGTCTCTGTTCACGTCATCCATGAAAATCTGACCTGAATCAATATGTGCCAAGGTTATGGTTTCTTGAGTGTTGCAGTACAGCGATCAGAGACAGACTGAAACCTGGTTTGCCCTCTAACAGGGGTGATCCTGGTTTCAGTCACCCACCAGACCCTTCATCTTTCTGGGGTGACCTTGAGCCAGCCACCCCACCTCAGCCAGACCGACCTCACCGGACTGTTTTGAGGATACACGGAGAGCACGAAAGCTGTCACATGCCACCTTGAGCTTGTTGGAGGGGAGATGGCATACAAATGACGTAAATGAACCCGAGCCCCTATCAGCCTCAGCTGGGTCAGAGGTCAGCTGTGCTGAGAGCTGTGATCCAGCTACTCATTACATTGCTAACATACAGCCTGCTGGAGGATGGTGCAGATAGCTATTTGCTTTCAACAATTTCTTCAAAAAAAATAAATAGCTCAGAAAAGAGGCAAAGTCTCTTGCAGCTCTTTCAGGGAGAGAGAAAAATGGTTTTAAAGGATTTTTTAAAAAAAACCTGGTTAAAAAAACCAGGGACGTGGTGGCGCTGTAGGTTAAACCGCAGAAGCCTCTGGGCTGCAGGGTCAGAAGACCAGCCGTCGTAAGATTGAATCTACGTGATGGAGTGAGCTCCCGTCGCTTGTCCCAGCTCCTGCCAACCTAGCAGTTCGAAAGCATGCAAATGCAAGTAGATAAATAGGTACCACCTCGGTGGGAAGGTAAACAGTGTTCCGTGTCTAGTCGTGCTGGTCACGTGACCACGGAAGATTGTCTTAGGACAAAACGCTGGCTCTATGGCTTGGAAACGGGGATGAGCACCACCCCCTAGAGTCGGACATGACTGGACTCCTATAAGTAGTCAAGGGGAACCTTTACCTTTACCTTAAAAAAACCAAGTGTGCCATAGCACTTAAAAACACTCAGGGTGGTTTACAATTTCATTATGCACGCTACACATTTCCTCTCCAATGAACTGAATACTGTATTTACCAAACTCAGAAGGATGGAAGGCTGAGTCAACCCTGAGCCAACTCCTTGAGCCCATTGGGATCAATCTCACGTCATGACCAGAGTCTTCACTGCAGTATTGCACTTTAACCACTAGGCTCCTATAAGTAGTAGCTTTTGGAAATGGCAATCGTTCAACACTTTTTCATCTCTGGGCAGAAATGGGGAAACAGCTCCCAAATCAACACAGTCGCTGCCTGTTAGCCAATACAGTACAGAAAACTGGTAGGGACACTATCAAATTGGCCAGAGCTTGAAAATAAGCAGCTATGTTTATAGTTCAGTGCTAAAATGGCTATTGTTGTGCTATTGAGAGGAATGCACCTAAACTTTTTAAAATAAAATTATTTAAAACCAAAATTTTAATACTTTCACACCATTACGCTCTAGAGGCACCCATTGGATGGTCATGTTACACGGAAGAATTGCATTGTTTCCAAATCTTGGCTCTGACGGACGAGCTCCTTAAGTAACTGGAATGTTTTAAATTTGCAGTATGGACACACATTGTTCATGTTAGCTCCTCACAGTAGAACTGGGTAGCCACGTAGAAAGGATGGACACAGTTCAGTTTGCTTGAATCAACATAGCATTTTATGGGATCTCAGGCCACACAGGTACACATTCACTTTGTGTGACACCCGGTGCAGATTGTTGCTGATTTTACACACTGCTGTCAGTTGTATTTCAACCTCCTGGGACCGGCATATGCAGTGCAGTCCTTCTCCTTTACTGGATAACACGGAAAAAGGCTCGTGGTCTTTAACCCGCTTGGGTTGCTCTAGATTCGTTCCTGCAAACTTTGACTGATGGAGTTGATCCTGCGACTGAGGTTTTCATAGGGAGACTCCTGCGTTGGTTGCCTGCCAATGGAAAGGGCTTAACTGCATTAATACTGACTGAGAGGAAGTGGAGAACGTTGCTTTTTTCCAGAGGTCATTACGGAGAAAATGCTGGCGAGCCTTCACGAGTGGTGTTGACTCACATTCTGTTTTAGTCTTTTGTCCCCCATGATGCTTACCGTATTTTTCCGTGTATAAGACAATACTGTTGTCTAAAATTTTTAGATTAAAAATTGAGCGGGGGGGGGAGAAGCAGGGACTTTCTTTGCAAGACAGTGGAGGGGGAATGCAGGAATCATCAAAGCACTTCGATTCCTGCTTTCCCCCTCCACTTGCTAAGCCCCACTCAGATTTCTAAACTTTGTGTTAGAAACGTGTGTGTGTGTGTCTTATACATTGGGGGTGTCTTATAGACGAACAAATACAGCAAGTCCCATGGATTTCAATGAGAATTAAGCATGGCCTTAATGTATCTCTAGAAATGTACGCCTAACTACATGAGTCAAACCCTAAAGTTTTTAGGATACAAAAGATATTGTCCTGGAAATATTCACTTTTGAGATGTTCAAATCATTAGGTTCAGCTGTACAGAACCTAATGCTGCTTGCTTGCTTAAAGCATTGTTTGCTCCATTAAAGCAGTCATTCCCCATACATGTGTCTATAATGCTGGAAATGCCACCTGGTGGAGACAGGAGAGGCTGGAAAGAAGATCCCACTGTGTTCTGCTGAGTGTGTTTCATTTAAAGAAGAGAACACTACAAGGATATGACACCTGTCCCATGGATGAAGGACCGGGCTTATGTCCCTTCGCTCTAGATGGTAGAACCTGAACGAATGCATTTAAATTACAAGGAAACTGATTTAGACCAACTGTTGGGGAAACTTTTCTGGCAGTTAAGAGCTGTTCAATGGTGGAATGAATTGGAGATGATGGTTGTTCTTGGTTGGAGGTTTTGAAACAGATATCCATCTGTTGGGTTTAGCTGTGGATTTCCTTTATTGTCAGGAGCTGGACAAGGTGGCCCTGGAGATCCCTTTCTGTTCTGCTGCTCTGTCGCTATGATTCTCAGTTTTTCCTAGAGCACTGTTTGCCAACCTTGAGTCTAGGTTGTCCATAAGGGTCTGTCCCTCCGTTTGATGCAGTTTGATCAATGCCCCCCCCTTTCTTTGATACTTCCTTCCTGCTAGTCTCCAGCTCCCTTTTATGGTATGCTGTCAAGCTGTTGAGGCTGTTTGAAGGGTTATACGGCAGCAAGAAAAAATGGACAGTTTGCAAAGTTTGCCATATACAGTGGTGCCCCGCAAGACAATGTTAATCCGTTCTACTGAAATTGCTGTTTAGCGAAAACATAGTCTTGCGAAATGTGATTCCCCATTGGAATGCATTGAAATCCGTTTAATGTGTTCCAATGGGGGATATCGCCCATAGGGAAGACATTTTGCTAAGCGTCAATCAGCTGTTAAAATCGTCGTCTTGCGAAGCATCAGTACTGGGGATAAAAACTGTCTTGCGAAGCACGGACCGAAACATTGTATAGCGAAAATCGCCCATAGGAAACACTGTTTTGCGAAGCGCTATAATGATTGCAAAAACTCATTGTTATGCAGATTTGTTGTTTTTCGAGGTAATCGTCTAGCGGTGCACCACTGTACCTACGAACATATGCACAGACCATGGAAACATAATCAGTTTTCAAATACTTGAGGGACAGGATCTGTTCTCGATCATCCCAGAATGCAGAACACGCAACAATGGGCTCAAGCGACAGGAAGACAGATGTAGGCTGAATATCAAGGCAAACATCTTAAGTGTTAGAGCAGCATGACAATGGAACCCATGATCTTGGAAGATGGAGAGCGCTCCAACATGGGAAGCATTCAAGAGAAAATGGGTCAACCCTCTGCCAGATCTCCTTTGAGTTAGATTCCTTCTTTGAGCAGGGGGTTGGACTCAGTGGCCTTAGAGCCCCTCCCAACTCTATTATTCCATGATTCTAGTCTGCTGGAATTTGTTGAAGACATTTTAATCTTATATTAATTTTTATCTTCTTTTTGTTTGTGAGTAGGTGATCTAGTGCTAAACTATATGCAGCAATAAGGTGATTTAGTGCTATACGCCATAGCTGTTTTTTTTTAAAAAAAAAATTAACACAAAATACTTTGGACCAAGTAAAGGGAAAGATCAGAGGAGTGGGTATTCCTTCTGTCCCAAAATAACACATACACCCCAAGTTACTATGTCACCAGAAAACCAAAGTCATTCTCCTCAGTTCCTTGACAGAACAAAACGAACAGTTGCACAGGAAAAAAACCCGCCTGAATCGATGTGGTTAGAAAAAACCAAAGCCCTCCAGTGGCAGAGGAAAAAAAAAGGCTGGATTGGAAGGTTAAAAAGCTGATTTGCATTGACCGTTATGTAGTGTGATCATTGAAAAATACTTCAAATTCACCAGTGCCGATTCCAGAGCAAACTGCAAAGTATTTTCCAGTGTAGTCACACACTTTGTCAAGGATGCAGACATGGAGCTGCTCAAAAATCATGAAAACATCATCTTGTTTCTGATGGAACCATAGAATTTTAGAGTTGGAAGGAACCCCAACAGTGACCCAAATCCAAGCTCAGGATGAGTCAGAAAATCCACAGCTAACCGATGTTTAGAAACTTCCAACTAAGAAAAGTCCACCACGTTCTAAGCTTCATCCATTTCTTACTGACAAGTTCTTCAACAAACTTTGAAATTTCCCTTCTTGTAATCTACATCTTTCAATTCAGGTCTTTTCTTCGGGGGCTGCAGAAAGCAAGTTTGCTCCCTGCCTCACATCACTGCCCATCACATTTCCGGTGGATGATGGAGTAAGCATGTTTTCTGTGGCTTCAGAGGGTAGGGGGTCTGATACTCAAGCCAAGAACTGCTGGCACAATTTGAGATCTATCTGTACATCAGCAGAACCTACAAAAAAAGCATACAGTAGGACCACCCTATCCACGGGATCAGTATCCACTGATTCACTTCTCTGCTGCCTGAAAATAATTTTAAAATCCCAGAAATACATGTATGCATTTCCAGGGTGTATTTTCCAGAACTGGCCACTAGAGGAAGTCAGAGACCATGCAATGGATAACATTAAATACTTCCACATTTCTCGGCATCCTTGGGGTGGGGTGCTTGGAACCTTATACCAGAGTCCTACTGTATTTGTAATGTGGAAGCTCAGCTGCAGGAGTTTCTTACCGTGAGAGGCTGTTTGACACCATGAAGCTATCTGCAAGGTAAAGGAAGAAAAACATGGAGGGAAGTGAATTACTTTTTTTTCCCACTGAGCCATTCCGTAATGTTCAAGTGAGCAAAAACTGTGACCCAAACAAAAGCCAAGAGCCTTACTAGAACAGGAAATTATGCAGTAACTGTACGCCTGGACCAAACCCTTTTGAAGTATGAGTGCTAGGAAGGGTTTTTATTTTATTTCTTGAACTACATATCCCATAACCCCCTATCCTGGGCGTTCTACCGGACTTACACATACCTTAGAGATCTGGAATTATGACTCACCTGGGGGAAAGGCCTAAACTGGCTGAGCTAGGCCTAGCTCCATGCAAGCTTCCTGTTCCTGCCCCAGGGTTAGCTGGGAGTTTTCTTTCGGAACAGGAAGCTAGGTGGAGCTTCCTGGAATCAATGGCAGCGCTAGTTTCGTCTCCATGGAGAGAGCGTAGAGAGGATGTGAAGAACACGCCTGTCTGTTTTCCAACACTTTGAAGCTGCCCTTCCCCTCAAATCTGCTGCCTGACAGCCACTTCAGCTCAGGAATGGGGAATCGGATGCTTTGGACTTTACCGCCCTTCATCTGTTACTACTGGCCATGCTGGTTAGCATTGATAGGAAACGAATCCCAAAATACTGGAGGACTAAAATTTTCTTTTTGGTCTGTTGGGGTTTTGTGCCGTGAAATCACCTCCGAATTATGGCCACCCTCCAAAATGTCTTGTCCTCCACTCTTGCAACCTCAAGCCTGTGGCTTCTTTTAGGGAGCCAGCCCATCTCATATTTGGTCTTCCTCTTTTCCTGCTGCCTTCCACCATTCCCAGCATTTTCCGGAGAATCGTGCCTTCTCACGATGTGCCCCAAGTAGGACAGCATTTTTTGCCTCCAGTTGAGGCTGGATTTGCTCTATGGACCCACTTGTTGGTCTTTCTAGCGCTCCAGGAGATCCATCAAGCTCTCCTCCAACACCCTCATTCAAAACAAATATTGGTTTCCCCTCTTAGCTTTCTTAACGGTCCAACTTTCACTCCCATATTTAATGGCAAAGAAAAGACCCATTTTCTTTCTCTCCCCGGCTTTCTATCCACAGGGGTTTCTCGATGAACAAAAGAGCAGGACGTACCTCCCTTCCAGCAAGCACCGACCCCTAGTATCACCACCAGGGCCAGCAATTTGATCCCCAGGGCCACGAACAAGAGGGCGAGGAGCCAGGAGCTCCCTCCGGCTTTGAACTTGTAAAAATAGACCGCCCCTTCCGCTGCTCCAAGGCTGTTAACGGCGGTGCAGGTGTACTTTCCATCATGAGCCAGGTGCTGGAGTTCCCTGGTGACCTGGTGAACGGCACTGGAGACGGACGTGAGGTTGCTGGACTGGGGACCAGTCCATGTCAGGGTGGGGAGCGGCTCCCCTTCGGCCGTGCACCTGGCATGGAAGGCATGATCCTGCCCAGTCTGGACAGAGATGTTCACGATCCTGGGTGGAGCTACCGGGAATTTAAAAAAAAAACTTCATAAAATTTTGAAATGAGATAAAACCTGTCCAACCCACCCACTCCAAAGCAACTGCCCACTGCACAATGATCTCAGGAGAGCCAGGAAGCAGAGCTTGGAAAAGCTCTTTTTTTCCCGGACTACAGCCGAATCGCTTCAATTCCTCCAGTTTGTTCCACCCCTTTTGCTCATTAAACTGGCACTTAACGCACTTGAAGGTTCAGACTGAGACATTAGGAGCAGAAAGAATAAAAAACATTTCATTTCCTTACAATAGAACAGATAGAACAGCAAACTAAGAACAAATGTTACTGCTTTTCAGCAACAGGCATCAACAGACGGACTTCCAACAGACAGACAAAGGAAAGGGGGAAAAGGCGGAGCAGAGGGGTTGAGCTTTCTTTGAATCAGAGGCAGGGAAGGAATAATTGGTTAGTGCCTCCCAGCCAAACCTACTAAAGGCAGCATGCGAGGTTGCAAAACAAACAAATAAAAAACCTTTAACAGAACCCTCTCAAGCAGTCCTGCTGACTAAAGAAAATGGTGAGACTTGTTTGAGCTTTGCTTATGGCCCTAGTTCTAGCAAAGCAAGAGGCCCAGATGTGAAATCCAGACATTATTATACAAGGGAATAGAGCTTAGGAAATACATTTCTTAGATTCAATGGGAAATGTTGGCCTACAAGTCAGGAGACTTGAGTTCAAATCACCAGCCTCTTGAGTGAGCCTGATCTACCCCTCAGGATTGTTTTGAGGATAGCAGTCGTCTGAGGAGAGCCACCCACATTGCCTTGAACCCATTGGAAGAAAGACTCGATGGTAGAGTCAGCTTGATGGCACATAGCCATGACAAAAATAATTTTAACCATAATATTATGTAAAGGCCATGCTGTAAAAAACCATTAAAATGAATGAATTGCTTTAAAATGAACTAAGTGTGTGGTTTAAAAATGATACAGGCTGGAGGCCACGGTGGCTGAGCCTGTTGCAAAGTTTTGAATTTCTGGTAAAATTCCCTTTTGCCACGCAGAGGATACACCAAGAGGAATAGCTACAAGTCCCCAGAGTCCACTCCTTTCCCATTAACAGGCACTTAAAAGTCTCAACTGAAAGTCTCAACCAACTGAACAGGTCAACACCAAACAAACAACGGCCACCAACAGATGAAAGAGAGGGGAAAACAACACTCAGCAGAGAGGCGGAGGTCCTTCTGAATTCAAAGGCTAGAAGGAATGTTTGGTTAGTGCTGGATACATAGACGTCCCCCCCAATCTCAGAAAAGACCCTCCTAATCAAACAAAACTATAGGCAGCATGCGAGGTTGTAAAGGAAAGTCCAACAAAGTCTGGACCCAACCCTTGACTTCTAGTTTCAGACTCTGGACTAAATTTCCATCTTCCTTACTGGCTTCAGCATCCCCTTACCGATGAGGCGCAGCCTGAGGCCCATCCGGCTTTCGTACTTGTCATGGATGTCCCCGGAGAACTCAACCCGGCAGAAGTATCTGTTGCTGTCATTCCACGCTAGGCTGTCGATCTGGAGGGAGAGGTTGTTCTGTCTTGGGTTCCCCAGAAGCTTATACCGGTTCTTCGTCCCAGCAGTGGCTTTGCAGAAATCGCTGGAGCTGTGGGCGACGCACTGGAAAACAACCGTCCCGTTGTACGGCTCCTTCACCCGCCAAATAGCTGTCAGAGTCTTGTCGAACATGTTGTGCGGGTGTGTAAAAGTGCATGGCAAGGTGACGGTCTTGCCAATTTCACCCGTCACCTCAGCGGGGACATGCATTGACCAGCCTTTGGAAGAAATGCCTAGGAAAAAAACAGGGCTTTTCAGTTGACAGAGGTGCCTTCTTTTGTTCCAACACTCCATAAGGCAGAGGAAAACCTAGCCATCCTGATATTGTTAGACTACAGCTCCCATCAGTTCTAACTCTGGGCCACATGGGCTAGGATGCAGGAGAATCTGCATGAGCAACCTTTCACACTTGTTGAGAAACAGCTCTAACAATTTATTTATTTAGTTATTGAATTTATTACCCCGCCCATCTAGTCAGCTGACTACTCAGTGTCTTTTGTGTTTGCACGAGAAGTAGTTAACTGATGAAAAAAGGAGTCAGCTTCTGGGATTTTCCGTTGCATGGAGTCACTTGGTGAATGGTAGTCAGCACAAGAGGGGATCCTGTAAACCAGGGGTCCCCAACCCCTGGTCCACGATCCAGTGCCGGTCTGTGGGCATGGCAGGACCGGGCCATGGAGACAGATCTCACAGTTCCAGTGATAAAGGCTTTTAGCTTTTGATCCTCCCTTTAATTTAGGAATGGGGTCTCATGACAATAGACAGATTAAGCCGTTGTTTAATATGTGATTAAAATGAGGAAACTGAGATCTGTTGTACTCAAAATGAGAATTTGGGGATTTAACTATTGTAATTGTTAAGAAAGGCAGATCTATTCACATAAAAGGCTTAAGTGATCGCTCAAAAAGGGACGTGGCATGTTTCCTCTCCGGCTATGTTATACGGAGAACGAGGCAAACGTAACTTTTAATGCCTGTCCCTCAGTGGGTATCAGCATGGTCCTTCCTACGCTTTATGCACCAAATTTATGGGTACACAGATAAAGTTGGAAAACGAGTTTGTGACAAGGGTCTTTTCTCGTACAAAGTGTTTGCAATGGTTCTCTTCAAGTATGCATGTATAGGAGCTGAAAATGGCCGCAGATCCTGGTCATAGTACATCGTGGGGCAGATTGTATGGTAGTGTTTGAACTGGGGCAGAAGCAAAGATTAGGGATGGACTGTTCGGCATTCTTGATTTCTCTTCATTATTTATTACATTTTTAACACCTCTTTTCTACATGGGTAATGTCCACCAGCTTGCACAGCTTCAGTCCTTAACACTTTAGCTTCACTACAACCCTGTGAGGTAGGTCGCCCATTGAATTCCATACCTGAATGTGGAAGTGAATCTGTGTCACCTTGAATTCTAGTCCAACCATGTAAACCCTTCATCTTTTGTATGCGTTACCCCAATACCTGCATTTTTATATACAGTTTTGCCACTTCTGCGATTTTTCCCTCCTAAGGGATGTTCCGACCAGAGTTCATTTCGAATATTGTTCTCAAAATGGCAGCTATTTTAATATGAATTCTCCCCCCCTAGATATGCAATTAAGCATACTTTAAAAAAATTAGAGAACTGCTGCCAAATTCAATGGCAGGTAATTTCAGAAAGTAGTAGGCATCTTTCAGTCTCAAGAGACTATGGTAATGTGCTCTGTATGTAGGTCTTGGAACAGTGTCTAGTGTGGCTGAGAAGGCCAATTCGAGAGTGACAATTCCTTCCATATACAAATACAATCTGTCCCCTGTCCAGCTCCCTGATTTTGCTGGTTTCAGGACTGCCTCTTCGCCTCGGCCTGCTGGACAAGGGTCTCTTCAAATTGGGAGAGGCCGTGATGCACTGCCTGCATCCAGGCTGAATGCTCAGAGGTCAAGGTTTCCCATCGAGGTCTATTCCTAAGGCCTTCATATCCTGCTTGCAGATATCCTTGTATCGCAGCTGTGGACTCCCTCTGGGGCGGTTTCCCTGCACTAATTCTCCATACAGGAGATCTGTATAGCTTTAGTTTACGTTCTGGATCAAAAGGGTGACAGTCATGCTTCCCCGCATCTCCGCCATTGCTTGCAGGGAGACACTAGATGGCCTTTAACCTTTTGTGATGGCGCACCTGGGTATTATTCATCAGATTGGCATCCGGGATATGACCTGGCCCAAACTAGAAGCACTCACGCTTAGGGCTTTTCCATTTCATGGTGCATCCCCTAACATCAAACCCTGAACTCATAACCTGATTATAACAGAGAGATCCAATGACTTTTTTTTTCTTGCTTTCAAATGGGGATGATTTTTCTGACCTAATTTTGTCCATCTGGAACATAGGTGGGGAGGGAGATGAAATCAACAATGTGCAGGGATGGGTCACCTGCAGGTAGGTATCAAAGAGAAATATTTGGCTGGGACCCTAACATCAAACCCTGAACTCATAACCTGATTATAACAGAGAGATCCAATGACTTTTTTTTTCTTGCTTTCAAATGGGGATGATTTTTCTGACCTAATTTTGTCCATCTGGAACATAGGTGGGGAGGGAGATGAAATCAACAATGTGCAGGGATGGGTCACCTGCAGGTAGGTATCAAAGAGAAATATTTGGCTGGGAAAGGATGAAGGGCAGGGATGGGTCGCTTGCAGGTATCAAAGAGAAATATTTGGCTGGGAAAGGATGAAGCGCTCCTTCTCTGCCTCCCAGTCAAAGGACCTCCTTCTGAGAAGAACTTTGGACACACATATGCAAAAAAGGAGATTCTGAACACTGGATTTCACAGTAAGAAACCCACCTGGATTGTTTCCGACTATTGGCTGAGACCATCTCTGGATCATCAGATAACACTGTGCTCGAGACACTTGGCTTCAGGCAGTGAGCTTTGGATCAAGAGCAGCACTGGGAATTATAAAAATAATCTCAGACCTGCAATGCTGGAAGGGACCTTCTGGATCACCCAGTCCAGCCCCTGTCAAGGAGGCCCGGGGCAGGAATCGAACTCCCAGCCTCTGGCTCCACAGCCAGATGCCGAAACTACCGAGCTTTCCAGCCGTTCTCCCTCTGTCTGTGGGTATTTTAGCTTTGGATCAAGAGCAGCACTGGGAATTATAAAAATAATCTCAGACCTGCAATGCTGGAAGGGACCTTCTGGATCACCCAGTCCAGCCCCTGTCAAGGAGGCCCGGGGCAGGAATCGAACTCCCAGCCTCTGGCTCCACAGCCAGATGCCGAAACTACCGAGCTTTCCAGCCGTTCTCCCTCTGTCTGTGGGTATTTTAGCTATTCTTAGAGAAACCACCGAGCTTTCCAGCTGTTCTCCCTCTGTCTGTGGGTATTTTAGCTATTCTTAGAAAGAAAGCAGCATAAGCAGGAGGGGTTGAACATAAGCAGGAAGGGTGGAAGTTATCCATGAAAAACTCACCTTCCTTCACAATGCAAAGCAAGCAGGTAAGAAGCAAGCCAGCACCTCCCATTTCTGGACTCCTTCTGCGTAACGGGCGATCTAAATAGATCGACCCCAGCCGGGCTATCTCCTGACTTGACCGGATCCTGTAAGACTAAAATGCCTACGTAGCTTTTCCACTTTGCAGAATCCAGAGGCAGTGGCACTTTCTGTGCTCTTGGAAGAAACGAGATCATTTAGCTGATCTAAACTGGTGGCTTTTCTGATTCACCCTCCACGCCGGGATGAGTAGAAAAGCCAGGAGTCATCTGGTTCCTGTTTGTCTGTTTAGCCACTGTGGCTGAGGCGAAGAGATGCGATTCTTTTTAAAGATCGGTGCTCCTCGCTTAACTGCAGTCAACTCCAGGTTGCTTTCATTGATGGATAATATGCAGCACTGGAAATAGCACAACGATCAATGTCACAAGAACCGGTTGCTTGTAGAGTACACGGCACGAGTCTGTTTCACATTGAATGAATTCAATTGCAAGACCAATGAGAAGAAAACTGTCCTTGTATACATTTTTGTCTTTTGTTGGAGGTGTGTCTAAGGCTGGGAGAGCATGTGAACCTATAGATCCAGTAGTCATTAATAACAGTGTGCCATCAATTTGATTCTCATGTATGGTGGCCCTTTCTACATTTTTGTAAGTATGACGTTCTCAGAAGAGGTTTACGGATAGTCTTTTACAGACAGTCTGGAACTAATCAGCTTGCCCAAGGCTACACAGGGTACACATTTCCAGGTACTATCATGCCTTTATCATTTGCTTTTCAGCTTTGCCCTAAGAGCCAGCAGTACGGTGGCTCGGAGGTGTGATGGTCAACCCTTTATAGAAGATTTCTGTTCTCCATATGGAAGACAGCCATCTTTGTTGTTGTTGTTTAGTCATTAAGTCGTGTCCGACTCTTCGTGACCCCATGGACCAGAGCACGCCAGGCCCTCTTGTCTTCCACTGCCTCCCGGAGTTGGGTCAAATTCATGTTGGTCGCTTTGATGACCCTGTCCAACTATCTCATCCTCTGACACCCCCTTCTCCTCTTGCCCTCACACTTTCCCAACATCAGGGTCTTTTCCAGGGAGTCCTCTCTTCTCATGAGATGGCCAAAGTACTGGAGCCTCAGCTTCAGGATCTGTCCTTCCAGTGAGCACTCAGGGTTGATTTTCTTCAGAATGGATAGGTTTGATCTCCTTGCAGTCCAGCACCACAATTCAAAAGCATCAATTCTTTGGTGGTCAGCCTTCTTTACTTTCAACAATATTGCTTCTTGAGGTTTCAATACGGGCTCATCCATGCCATGGTGTCGTCTCTGGTTTGTTGAGTATTCGAATAGATCACCCCAGTATTTGCCCCTACATTTGGGGATGGTGTTTCTGCAGGATTTATTCTGCTCTGGATCATCCTTGCACTGTCTGTCCGCATGTATTTCCTGAATTACATCCCGGTATATGTAATAATGGGCTCAAGCTACAGGAAGACAGATTTAAGCTGAATATCAGGAAAACTTCCTAACTGTTAGAGCAGTATGACAATGAAACCCATGACCTTGGGAGGTGATGAGCGCTCCAACGTTGGAGGCATTCAACAGAAAACCGGACAGCTGTCTGTCAGCTCCACTAACTGCCCTTGCCTTGAGCAGGGGGTTGGATCCAAAGGCCGGGTAGTCCCTTTCCAACTCCACGATTCTATGTTTCACTCCCAGCCAAGATCACTCTCCCGTCTTGCGTCTCTGCTCCACCTTCCCTCTGCTCACTTCACTATCTTCATGCTTCCTTCCTTGTTTCACCTCATCCCTGGGGTGCAGAGCGTTGGAAACCAGCTTAAACATCCCATAGAAAAATTCCACCAAATTATATCCACCCACAAAGTGCAGAGATCAGAAACTCAGTACAATCATCCACATAAGCAGAACCTGCACTGGAGCAAACCAGAACAAAAAAAAGCACCATTACCAGACCGTGGTGTTACACCCCAGCATAAAGGGTGTTTTCTTTAAAAATCCTACTTTTTTGACCTTACTTTCACTCGTGCATTGCACGGAGACGAGGAGACAGTTCTGGGATCCTGTGGTTGCTCTTTTGGGCCATCACGTTGCTTCCCACTTATATGGACCCTATGAATGCCCGATCTGAAAAATGCCCTGTTCTCCATTGCTCTTGTAAACTCAACCCTGTGGCTTCATTTAGGGAGTCCGTCCGCCTCCTATTAGGTCACGGGTGGAAGGAAAGTTGAAGAAATCCTCCTTGTTGATGGGCTCAAAATTGTACAGCCAGTGTTTTTGGGTGGTTTTCTTTCGCAATAAAAAACTTTCCATTTTATCCCATTTTTGTTTGAAATACAGATCCCTCATTTTAGCTTTTTCTTGTGGAAAATCCCCCTTTTAAAAAACAAAAACAAAACCCATAATAATGAGGACACATCCTTACATGGCTACCCTCCCTGTTTGTTTGTTTTCCCCTCTTCTTCTGACAGACTCCTTTGGGCTCTTAAAAGAGGACAAATAGGTGACTTCGGTCATATTTCAGCAAAGTTATGGCTTTTAAAGAGGCTTCCTGTCACCACAAGAGGGCAACCGTGCTCGGAGGAGAAATAGAGAAGGTGAATCTGAGCCGCGCTCTTCCAAAACAATTGGGTTTGGCAGGCCAAACAACCACGAGGATGACATCAACAGAGCTACAAAAAAAACACACCCGGCCATATTAGGAACAGCATATAAATGATGTCCGTCTTTAACAGATACTTTGGTTTTTGGTTAAAACTTGCGTCTGTTACATCATGCCGGTCGGCGTTTTTATAATTTTGATTGACTGTGCCTGGAATTTTTTTAACAATCACCACATTATTATTATTATTATTATTATTATTATTATTATTATTATTATTATTATTATTATTATTATTATTATTATTATTATTATTATTATTAT